TGGAGCTGACCAGAAGTTTGGTTCCCCCACCATAGAGTCTCCGCCTAGAAAAAGGCATCCTTTTTCCTCTACCTGTCCTAACTGAAAGCCCTATCCATTGTGGAGCCGACTGGCGACAGGGAGCTGCAGCAGAGGGATGAAAGAGCCACAGGTGGCTCCAGAGCCACAGGTTGCCAACCCCTGCCCTATCCAGTCAGCCTTTAGGTTCATTCAATATTTTTGTGAGGAATATCCCTTTCCTGGATGTTTGAGGAATGGCAGCCTGGTCATAACCATCAATTCTTGTCAGTCATTATATTATAATCAACTAGAATGCAGCATTTGGCACAACTCTATTGTTCTCCACACATTCTAAATTCTTTGCTTCTGGATAAAGTTAATAATCCATATGTAAATCAGAGAAAATAGTGAAGAACTGGTTGCTTACCTTCTTATAAGTTATCATTCACAAACAGGCCTACTCTTATATCTAGAATTTGAGAATAATACAAGTGCTTGACTTGTGTGTTTCTTTTGTGGTGGCCTTTTTCCCCTTCTTAACTTTCCCAGAATCTGTTTGACCTTTCACCCAGGAACATTTTGATCTGAAGTGCTGTGTGATAAAGCCCATATGTGTCAATTCACAGGTAGCTTCTCATGAAAGATCATTGGTTGCTTCGGCACATACTAATGCTTCTCTAAAACCTTTATCTTTCAGTTACCCTGCAATTTGTGAATTTTTGCAAAACAATAATTTGTTATCCGTGATTCGAGCACACGAAGCCCAGGATGCCGGGTAGGTTCATAACAAGTTATGGATTAAAGATTTCTTTGGTGAAGGTTTTTTATAACAGCAGCCTGCTCAGCCTTTCCCTGTTTTCCCAGGTACCGAATGTACAGAAAGAGCCAAACCACAGGTTTCCCATCGCTCATCACCATCTTTTCCGCACCAAATTACCTAGACGTCTATAATAACAAGGGTAAGCTGTTGAATGTATGCGAGGGGTGCCTAAATTGGATTATGGTAGATTTCTTTAAAAGGTACACTATCTTTGCTTGTTTTTTTGTTTGGCTGGGAATGTTGTGAACATGTGTTCATTCTATATTAAAAACAGTAAAGGTTCCCCTACACATGTGTGCTAATCATTTCTGGCTCTAGGAAACATTCCAGTCTAGGAAAAGTGCTAGTTGTTTCCAGCTCATCTCCGTTTCAAAGCCAAAGAGCCAGCGCTATCCGGAGATATCTCTGTGGTCATGTGGCCAGCATGACTGATTGCCAAAGGCACACAGAAAGCTGTTACTTTCCCACCTTCTCAAAAATCGGTAGTTCCGATTTTTCTACTTGCATTTTACATGGTTTCGCACTGCTAGGTTGGCAGAAGCTGGGACAAGTAACAGGAGCTCACTCCATTAGGCGGCGCTAAGGATTCGAACTGGCGAACTTTCTGATTGACAAACTCAGCATCTTAGCCACTGAGCCACCTTAGGAAAGTATAAAAGGGACCGCTCATTTGGTTTGTTTCTTCTTCCCCTTTTCCCATTGTTGGAATTCTCTCCGGCCTGAAGACTATCATGAAAGAGGAGAAAGGAATAATGAAAGTCCTTCACTTACAACACTTCATTTAGTGACTGTTCCAAGTTACAATGGCTCTGAAAAAAGTGACATGACAGTTTTTCACACTTATGGCCGTTAGCAGCACCTCTGTGGCCCTGTGGCCAAAATTCAGCCGCTTGGCCACTGACTCATATTTATGACGGTTGCAATAGGTCATGCGATCCCCTTCTGCGACCTTCTGATAAGCAAAGTCAATGGGGAAGCCAGATTCACTTAACAATCATGTTACTAACTTTACAACTGCAGTGATTCATTTAACAACCATGCCAAGAACTGTCATAAAAATGGGGAGAACTCATTTAACAAATGTCTTGCTTAGCAGCAGAAATGTTGGCCTCAATGGTGGTTGCACGCCAAGGACCATCTGTAGTTATGAAGAAGCTGCCTTTTTCTCTTGTCATTTGGAATCAGAAAGAAATGTTCTTCTTAAATCAAGGGCCTCCAACCTTCGGCACAGTTAAAACTTGTGGACTTCAACTCCCAGAATTCCTCAGCCAGCAAAGTGAAGCTGGCTGAGGAACTCTGGGACTTTAAGTCCACAAGTCTTAAAGTTGCCAAGGTTGGAGATCCCTGTCATAAATAGTTTCAGTTTTCACTCGGGTGTTGTTTGTTCCAACTAGACAGCATCTTCTCTGATCCTGAGCTTGGTCCACAATATTTGTGAACTTGCGACATTGTGCTGGCCAGGTTTGACTTTCCTGTCATGCTGAATGAACCAAATTTGATGTTTTGGGATGGGGTTTCGTTCCTAGTTCTCCTGGCCATATGCAGAATTTATGTAACCACGGGAAGACTGTGGAAGAGGGAGTTGTTTGTTCACATTCGGCCGACATTATACAAGTAGCCTCATTTTACAAGGTTGATGTGAGGATAGTTCAAAGAAAAAAAAAACCCTCTGAATTCTTTGGAACAGGTGGAAAGCAAATCTGATTAACAAATATTAACTGAATGTCAGAATCAGTTTGATGCTCTTCCTGTGGAAATCTGTGCCTTATCCAAATGCAGTTTTAAATTTGGGGTTAATGATTTTGATATTTCTGCACCCTATCCTCTAATGGGTCAGAAAGAGATAGAAATCAGTTCTTTTGCTGTTCAACTACTTGTGTCTTATTGTGTCTGAACTAGGAATTAGTTGGTAATTTTTTTGTTGTTAGTTGCGAAGTTACGTCCGACCCATCGCAAACCCATGGACAACATTTCTCCAGGCCTTCCTGTCCTCTCTCATCCTGGAGTCCATTTAAGCTCACGCCAACTGCTTCAGTGATTCCATCCAGCCACCTCATTCTCTGCCGTCCCCTTCTTCTTTTGCCCTCAGTCTTTCCCAGCATTAGATTCTTCTCCAGGGAGTCCTTCCTTCTCAATAGGTGGCCAAAGTATTTGAGTCTCCTCTTCAGGATCTGGCCTTCTAAAGAGCAGTCAGGGTTGATCTCCTCTAGGACTGACCAGTTGGATTGCCTTGCAGTCCAAGGGACTCGCGGAGTCTTCTCCAACACCATAGTTCAAAGGAGCTCATAGTTCTTTGGCGCTCAGCCTTCTTTATGGTCATTCTTATTATAGTTGGTAATACATTCAGTTTATCTCAACAACCAGTCTTATAAAACTATGATTGGAAACTGGCTTGTTAGGACAAACCATCGTTCATGCTACCTCTGTTATTTCTACTTCAGATATAACAGTCCAGGTAGTCCTTGACTTACGACCACAATTGAACCCAACATTTATGTTGCTAAGTGAAATGTGTGTTAATCAAACTTTGGTCCTTTTTTTTTTTGAGAATTTTTTTTATTGTTTTAGTTAAACAAAAAGAAAAAAGAAAAAATCATCTTTTGTTACATCTTGTTGAAAGCATATTGATTGGTTACAAATATATTCCGTGCGTTTCTTCCACAGT